CCATTATAAATGTGATTTCAGAGCCTGTTCAGCTTGAAACAAAGGGATTTCCTCACATTCAACCTCATTACTCTGATTAGTGGGCTTGTAAAGTGGAGCATGAAAATGAAACATGACATAGACATGAAGTGATTGTACTAAAATCCACGCAGACTGCTTCTTGGAAATGAAAGTATGACATCCATCTTCTCTGAACTGTTTACAAAGTTAAGTTTTCTAAGTAGTTCATTTTTAAAGTCTGTAAAGTAAGTTACTGTAGCTGTTAAGGGGAGACACCAAAAACAAAAAAATCCAAATAAATGAGCAGGGTGGGTTTTATTTTTTGTTTGTTTTTCTTTAATGACACTGAAAAAATAAGTAGAAGTGATAAATTTTCAGTAGAAATAAATGTTGAGCAGGAACATGTTTTGACTGGGTGGAAATAGATGAAAGTCTACTTGTTCTCATGGCAAAAATGGAGAGAATAGTCTGCATTATTTTAAAAAAGACCTCTTTGTATGCTGCTTACTTCTGCCTCTGAACGTACTCTGTCCTTCTGCCTTAGCTGTTACAAAGATACCTGTTTAGTTGGGTCTTCAGAGGTCATACAAGACGATGACTTCAGTGTTATAATGCTTGTTTGGTACTGTGCAGTGCAGGAGCAACGCAGTCTCTCATATTTTAGCTTTAACAATAGAGCTACATCATATTGTCTTAAAGATTTGTCTTCAAATATTGAGTTTTCTTAACGGAGCTTAATCCTGCAAGACCGTACCTCTTTGATTTAGAAGCTGATTCAGTGCCACAGACATCTTATGTTGTCAAACTGCATTGTGTGCTGTGCAGAATGCAAATCTTTTTGTTCTGCAGCACACTTTTTTAGAGGAAAAAGTAAAGAACAAAGATTTGAATGCAGGTTTTGGTGCTGCTGCACTGTTTCTAGAGATGACTCACACTGATACAATTAAGATCCCAGAACTCTGTATGCAATTGCACCATCTTCATTTCCAATAAGAGCATCTGGAAGAGGATATCTAAATGCTGTTGGATATTGTGAAAAAGCAAGCTGGTGATACTCAGGAGAATTCAGCATCCTGGTGTTTAGGAAATGAAGGGGAAGGCTGTGGGTTGCAGTAAAGCAGGTCAGTGTCTGACTGCTGTGAAATTAGCTAATGTGAGAGAGTGCTGCCTTTCCATATGAGGGCTGGCTGGTGGGACTTCATAATGCTGCTGTAGGTCCTTGCAAGCTGCTGCCATTGTGGTTTGGCTCACCAGGAGAAGAGGGTAGGATGCAATCCAAAGCACACTGGGTGCACAGTGCAGTTTAAAAGTGAAGTTTGGTGTCTAGTGTGAAAGTGGAAAGTATGGTTTTATTTATTTATTTATTTTTTTGAGAGCTTTTGGGGAAAGTTTCCCATTCAGCAGCTTTTGCCACACACAGTATTTCTCTGTAGTGCACATCTACTAGGTAAGCTCCATGAACCTTAGGAGGAACGCATTTCCAGGCTCATTTGTGCTCTTATTCCCACTACAAAGGGGAATCATCTATACTGAACTTGAGGAGATGGGTTTTGTACAGGTGACCTGTGCTGGGTACAGCTCGTGGAAGAGCACAACCCTGGAATGATGGAGGACAGCAGGGTTCCCACCAGCCTCTGAGGCATCTGCTTTTGGGGCACCCCTCAGCCATCAGACTGTTACGTGGCCTGAGTAAGCATGTGAGATTTATTTCCTTGGCATTAGTGAGGACAGAGTTTTGCCTTTAGGACTGAAACATTGAGAGATTTCCCTGGAAAGGAGACATAATGTGGGGAGAAGGGAGGAGGAAGGTGTAGGATCACATCTTTCTCCATGTTCTTGGAAATATCCTTGGGAATGGCTCAGCAGCAGGCAGGCAGGAGCACTTCTTGTGCTCTGAGGAGGCTCACTTGGGACCCACACAACCCATACCCACCAGGGAAAGCATTCTCCTGGCAGGTTTTGAAGAGAACCTGCTGTAAGAATGATTTGAGACACGCATTTTGGGTCAGCACAGCAGGCTGCTGCTGAAACTCTTCTGGTGCTTGAAACGCTGACCATGGACACTTTTCACTCTGTTTATTATTTCCAGTATATGTTAGTGGAATTAATGCACTGAGCAGAAGAAATCTCGGATGAATAAAACTCTTTTTAGCAGCATGTGTGTTCATGTTTCTGATACAAAAACCCAGTACAAACAAACTGCTCAGTGGGGCCTACGGTCCAAAGGGAACAATAAGAGCTCTGTTGAGTCCCATCTTTCAAAGGAACTTGAGTTCCAGGTATTCATTGATTCTTGGTTCCTCTGCTGGTTACCCAGATGAGTATTTTAGTGACTTTGTTTTTCTAAAGATGCTTTCTTCTTGGTTTTGCATGGGGGGAGGGAGAGCTTGTATGGGCTGAGGCTGGGAAAGTCACTCTAAAAATGAAAGCATAAGTGTTTGTTCAGTATATTAAGATTTAATTGATGGTTGCAGAAGCCACATTTTTGTCTGCTTTTCAAAATGTTTGGGTGGCTTTGTGCAGACTTGAGGTATGGGTCGCTGTGGATCTGGGGAAGGCAGTGTTGTGTTAGATAAGAGCAAAACAAGTGTCTAATTGTTCCAAGAGTTCAAAGCATTGGCTATCATTGAACAGACTCTTTTCTGCAGAGGGGAGTTTTTGGACAGGGAGAGGGAGGTTGCCTGAAAATTAAAATATTTGGTGTTGCTGTTTCCTTTATCTTTGAGATGCCTGCAGTGATCAGACCCACCCTGAAAGTTCGGATACCAAAATATTACTGAAGTTTAAAGAAATGGAAGCTGTGAACAGCAAGCTATGCTAAAGGTGAAAACAGGCTGATAAATACAAGCATTTATGTAGTTGAGCAAAGCACAGGAAAGCTCATCTTTATGACCCCTGTAGGGTGTCTTCCAACATAAATGATTCTATGATTAACTATGATTATTTTAATTGCAGTTGCAGTTAAAATAATGGAGAGCAACCTGTTTTTCTAGCACACTTCTGCTGTTTTGCTTTCGATTAACTCCATGGAGTTTTGGGGATTGTAGTTAAGCTTCAGTACAGTCCATGCTTGCTAGGGGATAGACACAATTAGTATTGTGTGCCCTGCCAGGAAGAAAGCCAGTAGCTGGCCTGTGACTTACCTAAAATGAGTGGCAGCGGCACCCATTTTATGCTTCATTTGATCCTGAGTACTAATGTGGAGCTGTTGTGTGGAGGAGGGGTGAATTAAAAAAGCATGTATTTCTATTGATCTTAAGGCTTGTTGCAGGATGCGACTTTTGTGGTTTGCCACTTAGAAGTCATGCAAATTCTGCTTCAAAATAGAGTCAGGGAACTGTGGGCTTTGGTCTGGGTTTTTGTCAGCTGTGATTGTTTAGGATTTGTGCTTTCTCCTTCCGCTTTAGATTTGGCCTCTAGGCACATCTTGGGAGAAAGAGAACAAGGCTTTCAAGCTGATGGGTTTCTTTTTTTTAGATTTTTTAAAATTTATTTTTACTGAGACTTTAAGTGAAATTCAATTGTATAAATATGCTCATAAATGGGAAAATGCATCCCCGTCAATGTCTTTTAGAAAGAATTATTCAGGAAAGCTACTGAATTGACATTGTGATCGTTTGTTTTACTGTCACTGTCTGGCTGCTCTATGAGTCAGTTTAGCTGTGGGAATTTCAGCCTTCTATTTTTCTGACTTATGGGTTATACAGCACAGAGGGATCCTCGTGAGTCACCTTCCTCCAGTACAGCCTGCAGTTCTCCAACTTCAATCTGCCTGGACAAAATCAGGAAGGAGTGCGTAACGATTGCCTAGGTCTGAAACTATAAGGGGATACATTGGGATTCAGAAATCGCACATCAAGCAAGGATGTTAGTGTCCATCAAGATTGTAATAGGCTCTCAAGGTGCTCTAGTACATGTGTGTGTAACTCTCTGAGGCTTGATTTTTGCCCTAAAGCCCAAATCACTTGTTTACAGAAACGCAAACCCAGGTTTTCTTTCTGCTGGTTGTAGCTCCATGGTGCTTAATAGAACTAAAAGAAAAAACACACCACATCTCATGGCTAAGAAATTGTTCAGGCCTCATAAACAGAGTTCAGGCACTTGGGGAAATCACTCAATATTGCTCTCAATTTCAAAAGTTGTGGAAAAAACTGTTTGTCTTCTGATGTTTATTGTCAGGATTTTGCTTGAAGCAAAGCATCGAGGTGAAGGTGAAAGAGGTGTGAAGGTGATGATGAAGAAGTAGGTCATGCTTCAAAACTGAGTAGCAGATGTTTTTTTTTTTTTTCTCATTTTATTTATTTGAAGCCATTTTTAATGGGGACACTCCAAAAATGGGGTACATACAAATTGCTACATCTTCCAGTGGTGCTTTTGCTGCTTCTGTTGACTAGGCAAACGGCACTGAATACAGTCTGGGAAAGGCACGGGTGATGGCGCTGGGCTAATGTGTGGCCTCAGAAGAGTGGAGCTGTGGCAGTGGCAGATGGCTTTGTCCTAACAAAACACTGTTAAGGATTTTCTTTTTCCTAGAATTTTTTTTTTTGTCTCTTGGGAAGTCTATAATGGGAGAGCTGGGGTGAGGAAGAAAACAATGCTGTTTACTTAAATGTAGGTGAAAATTTCTACTTCTCTGCAGATGGGGGGAAAAAAAAAATCTGGCATGTATGTGAGTAGCTTTATAAAGCTCCCTGAGGAAAAGTAATAGTCACCACCTTGAACAAGAGCTGCTGTGTGATGGGCTGTGTTGTCAGCCAGTGCTCTGTGCACCACTGTAAGAGAATGCAATGAACTACCTCGTGCCCAGGGATCTCAGTACTGCTTAGGGACTGGTGTCCTGACTGAAAGGGTAGTTGGAACTTGCTCTGAATTTTCTGGGCATTTTTTTCAATTCTATTAGAATCACAAGAGACACTAGGATGTTGAGGACTTGCTATAGAATTCTGTTGATACCATTTGCTTGTCTGAAAACGACGGTTTTAATGTCTGTTCTCTTACAGTGTGATTAGTGTTACTGCACTGTCAGAAATAGCAATTCCTGCATGGAAGTGTTGAGCAGCAGCATTGCAAAACAGGACTAGCCGAAGCAGCAGCTTAGATCTGCTGGGGCCAGCTGTGCTCAGGGCCTCAGGACCACCAGTACAGGATGATGCCACTGCTACAGACTGAAGTGGGATCCCGCAGCAATTCAGCTTCAAAAGTCACAGGCCACCTCTCTAGGCAAGTACTTGTCATTAAATTATTATCAGTATTTTGTATAGCAGCATCTGTTACACAAATTTGAAATCGAAGCAGAAGTCCATATAACAAGCAGGAAAAGTTTGAGAACACAAGTGTGGTCTGCAAGTTATTAATATCCCGTATGAGGAAAGCTGGAAGGTAAAGTGGAAGAATGAAGTTACTCATAAATGAGAGCTGGGAAGTAAGCTGACAAAGGCCTGTACTGTCCACCTTTTTTAAAGATCAATGCAAACCTTTATTTTCTATAAATAATTTAATAAATACTTTTGTTTTACAATGATACAATAAATTCATAGCAAATGAGTCACAAAGAATTTAGAATCAGTATACTTTAATAAGGTATCAGTGTCAAAATACATTTCCTTATCAAATTAAAGTTCCCATATAGTTATAATATTGTCAATAAGAATTCAGCAATATAGATTATGAAATAATTATGATAAAAAGTATGATTAATATTAAGATGGAATATTTTTCCAGAGTGTTTTAGTAAACTGTTAGGCTATATAACATTTTTAATGCTGAAAATACACAAATAAGAAACAGAAAAGAAGCAGTATTCAAGTGTCTTTAGTCTTTGATGCCTTTAAGTCCTTGCCACTGAAAAATGTCAAATCTGGCTTGCCAACTTTCATTCACTACATGTTGACTCTTACACTATCTTTTCCCATAGGAATAAATTCACTTTATGAGTAGCTTATTTTTGGTAAAAAGAAAAAAAGAGCACAAAACAAAACAACTCTTGAAAGATCTGCCTGCAATAAGGACTATTGGAATTTTTATTTGACACTATATACCACTACTAACATAAGATCTTTCACTTTCAAAAGAGTGCACAGTATGTATGGTTAAGACTCACTTAACACAGCAATTTCTGAAGTGCTCTATGAACCCAAGGCTCCCTCTCTGCAAGTGTCAGTGCATGTAGAAAGCAAAATCATAAAACAGGCTTCAGTGGAACTGAATATCTAAAACCAATTATCTTTGTTCTCAGTTTCTGGGCCAGATTTTATACCTTCTGTACATTGCCGCTGTTCCATTTTTTTCTGTGAAGCCACAACAATTTATACCAGTGGAGGAAACCAGATGGATTTCAATAAATATCTCAATACATAGCTATTTCAAAGGCAGAACTGCCCACCTACTTCTATTAGTTCTAATATTTTTGCTGCTTAAATACACTCCAATTTTCAAACATGAACATTTGAAAGCATTCATAGCCTTATTTCTAAAAATGTGCATGACAGTACATCATAGTTGAAAAAGAGTCCTGAAAACATCTGGCTGAGTTCAGTAGCATCTCAGCTCTTGATTAAAATATCAGGTAAGTCAAAAGAGAAAAACCTGTCAGTAATTCATCTCACTACACCATTCTTAATTCTTTTTGTCCACTTAGAATTAAGTTAGCATAATATGCCAGAAAATACTACTTCTAGTTTCAATATTGAAATTATCTTGCTAGCCAGCCATACACCATGATAAAAGCTAGTAGTATTCAGAGGTGTTAGTTCTGGCCAATGGTCAGATTCCTGAAGTGTCAGAAACGTTCCAAGAAATACTACGGGTTCTTAACTTTGTTGCGTTCTAGATACAGCAAAAGTACCAAGAGCTGATTAACAACTGACCCAAAGAGAAATAATAATAATATAAAAAAAAACAAAACACAACATCTGTTTTGTGTAAAAAATGAAGGGTACGACAAAGAAAAAAAAAAACAAAACCAAAAATACAACAAGCAAGAAACCCCAATACAAACAAAAACACAGGTCTGAATCCTCCACTGGGATAAATCTGTAGGACTCGTGTGTCTCTAGCACTAAGCCAGGTTAAGTCAGCTGAGACCGTGACTTGATTCAGAGGGAAAAAAAGCTTACAATGTGCAACCTTCACAGATACCCACAAACACTATAGTTCACCATTCACATTTCTTTCACCAAGGTGTATAAAACTGAAGGGGAGGGGAGGAAGGCTGGGATTTCTCTTTAGTATGCTTTTCCAGAAGTTATTAAAAGTTACAAAGCAATAAATGCTGGAAAACAGAAAGACTCAAAGGATTTCAATTTGGCAAATGAACAAAAAATTGTGGTTGGAGATCAAATTTGTTTCATTTGTCTTTGGCAATAAAAATAAATCTTTGCAGTACTGCAGCCAAAGTATCACGCAACGAGGCACAGCTTTTTCCTAGCATGAAAATTGAAGGAAATTTGAAAGTATAAATTACTGGTAACAAGATAAAGGGAGGGTAATCAATCTCTCTAAACAACACTTTAATTGGAATAGAGAAAATACAGTAGATGTATTTCTTTAATGTGAATAATAAAAGTGAGTAACTTCAAAAGGCCACTATTTGGTAACATGGACAGATTCAATATCTATGTAAAATCCTGTAAAAGTGTATTGGTATTAGAAATCGCCTACTTGCAAAAATATATTTAAAAACTGAAGCTGTTTTGAACAGTATAGGCCAAGGAATACTGCAGGACTGCTCAGGTTGCCTGGTCCAGGGCTCTGAGCAGTTCACTGCCCTGCAGAAGCGTGGAACTGCCCAAAACAGGGACGTTTACCTCACAGTCATATCTTGTCAACTCAGGCAGCAAATAAGGTTCAAAGGAAGACCCCAGCAGACGACTCGTCACACCTGAAACAGTAAAAGTCAGTCAGGATGCTGAAATCAGAGAGAGAGACTGATAGTGAGAGAATGTTTCTCTCCTCTCTTCCCTCTTCTGTTTATACCAGTTACTGCTTTGTATTGTACTTATGCCTGTACACCTCAAACTACCAACAGTTCACATTTTCAGAGCAAATGCAATCATCTCTGCATTTAGGGGTTACAAGCACAATGTTTTCCACTTCCACACTAAATTCAGATTGAAGAAAATGACACTGGTGCAAATGAAGAAAGCTATAGTAACATAGTTCATAAATTGACAGCCTTGCTGTCTCCATTTGTCTCCTTTCACTGCAGATACTAATTTTTAGAAGGCATCCTTTGGTCTGTAACCTAGAAACCTCAGCTATCACTGCTGCACTGAAGCTGCTTAATACAGTTTAATCAATTTGATCACAAGACAAGAACGTGTAAGATGATGACTAGACCACTAAGGTAACAAAGGTACTAGTTCAACCGAAATGAAGGGGGAAAAACTGTTTTTCCTCATATATCACAAATGTAAATATTTAACGTGAAACTTTTAACAACCAAATTAATTTTTCATTTTGTGGAACACTATGCAATTGACTGTCGGTTTCACATTCTCTAACTTTTTTGTTAAAAGTTTTATTCTCATGGAATCAGTAGTGGAACTAAATGCCAACATTTTTCAGCCTCTGTATTGGACTCTGTATCTCTTACCTGACACTTTATGAGCTGACTGCACAGTATAGTCCTGATAATGGGGACTGTAAAACTGAGGAGAAAATGCTCCTGCTTTCAGATTTTCACCAGTACTGCCACAGGTGGGCTGTTGCTGCTGCTGCTGCTGCTGCAGTTGATTCATTGTTTGGCTCAGACCTCTCGAGTTGCAGACAAACTCATCTAATTCATACAGGAGAAAACAAAAAAAAATTAAATCAAGCCATTGTAATTGTTATAGTAGCTAATACTAATTTGAAGCAAATTGTTCCTTGGTGTGACAGTGACACAGTGTAGGCATATCTGAAGTCTAGAAACAGTATCATCTGGAAGTAGTATTGTACTAAAGATATGTGAAGAACGAAAAACAGTGTTTTAGAGAGAAAGCATCAGTTCTAGCTCTAAAATGTCTGCACATTAGATCAGCACTAGGTAAACCTACCTCTATTAAACTGCTCCCTGTTTACCTCCCAAGTAAAGGTATGGACAATATACAAATAAACAATCTACTTGGCATCTATAAAACATACTATAAATTGTTCAACAGTAAGCTATACAACTCGATCTTGAATTTTACATTCTTTGTATTTTTTTTTTCCACAGAGCTTATTTGACATGTCCTTACAAAATAGTTTTTCTTTCTATTCAAACTAGCTTAACATTGCAAAATCAATTTCTTTTCCCTTACCCGTAAGAACACTTGTGCTGAGAGACTTCTTTTCTGTAAGCAAGGAACAGTTTTCCCCTTTGAGAAATTTCATTCTCTTCCACATTAACTGAGATGGGTTAATGACAGATAGATCTCCCTACAGTTTGGAGAAAAGCAAAATGAATGATTATGCTGGTGATCTTGGTACATACAAAAATTTGAAGGGGATGCATTTTCTTATGATTACCCCACTCAGCTGTTGCAGTGCTTGCTCTTCATAATCCAATTGTCGCTTCAGTTTCAAACTATTAGACAAAGCAATTCTCGCTGGGTTTATATCTATGCTTCGTTGTCCCAAACCATCCAGCGCCCTGTTGAAAAAAGATTTCTGGGTGAGCAAGAAGGCAAATCTAAACTATCTTTTTCATTTATACAGATTCTTCTTTCATCTATTTCATCTATTTAAGATGCCTTTGACACATGACACTGTATGTTGAATGTCTTTGTTTCCTTTTATTAGTCATCCCACAGACTTTGGGAACTTTGGGGATCAAAGGCTAGCATGAACAGCCTCTAAAATCTCCACTCAGGCGTAAAAATAATATGGAAAAGAGTCATGAGATTTTTAATCTTAGGATTTTGAAAGCTACGCCTGTCTTCTTGCTAAGCACAAACACGAGTTGTATGTATTCAAGAAATCTACCCCTTTCTGCCCAAATATTTCCTAAGTGTAATACATGGAAAACATAAATTCTTACCTTTTTTTATATATGTGCACGTTGGGAGAATGTATTGGGGGTCCAGAGGGGGAATTTGATAGGGTTCCTGAGTATTTATCCATGAGTCTCCATTTAGCAGGAACATATTCTAACGGCGGATCAGGTGGCCACTGGGTGTTTGGTCTACCCCCCATCGAAGACAGTGGAGTGCTGGCTTGGTTGTGGTATGGTGGCAACGATGACCTACTCATATTGTTGAAGAACACAGATGATAGGGACCCAGAACCAGGGTTAATGTTTTTATTTGATAGCTGTGGGAAATATTTCTCTGGGAGGAACTGATTCTGTGAAGCAGAAGCAAGAGGTTGGAAAATGGTACTCATGCTACTTAGACTCTGCTGGGTATTTTGTGCACTTTCAGAGAGAGGATGTTCTTCTTGGCAGATAGGGCTTAGCTGGAAATCTTCTCCATCCATAGGAATGTAAGGAGCTAAGGTTTCAAGGTCCAGTTCATTGAAGTCAGTCTGCACAAAAATGAAAGAAGTTAATGAGAAACCTAGAAGTTAATAACAGTTGTGGCACT